GACAACAAATGCCGCCATTCGGTGACTGGCAGCGAAAACGTGCAACATGATCATGCCGTCAATTGTGCTGACGAATGTGGCATGTTACTTGCCAAACTGACTGTCAATCCGGCAGTACCTCAGCCAACAGTCAATGCAAAGCGTAACCTGAGCGATTGGAAAATGGTCAAAAGACCAATAAACGCAGCGCAGTCTCAACAGTAGCCAAAAAGCACCACCACCATCACCAACAGCAACAGCAACAGTAACAGCAATGACATCACAAGCCACTGCCATCAATCGTGTGCTGCAGAGAGAGCTCATCGATGGTTATGCTGATTAATGTATGACCGCGGAAGTTGCATTCATTCAGGCAAGCATACATAAATAAACTGCATACATACGAGTACATATGTGTACATACATGCATACACAGACACATAGGAGTGTGTGCCTTTGCTCGTGACATTCATTCATTGTCATGCGATGGCCGTTTGTTCGCTCGTTCGTTCATTCCTTGGCTCGTTTGACGTTTGATTGGTGGCCCAACTGCAGTTGGCATAGCAGCTACAACAAAAATAATAAAACAAAATCTATCAGCTTAATAGCAGTCAGCAATAGATCAGCGTGTCAGAATCGCAGTCCCTTGGCGTTTGCTTGTAAATAAGTCACGAACATGAGCGTGTGAGCTATGGAAGTGCTGAGTTGTTTGTTGGTACGCAAAGCATGTGATGTGATGTGATGGCCGTGCTTTATTGTTGTTGTCACTTTTTATTTATTCTTATTTTTTTAGCTTCTACAATTTTTTTCTCACCAAGAATTGCATTTCTTTCGCGTTTTTCGTAGTTTATTTAAAACTGTTATTTTTTTAAATTACTTTCTGCGTAGAAACTTACCTCGCTTGAGAAACCGTTTGACACAATTAAAAAAATTAAATATCGGCTAAATTATACAAATAAAAAATGTATTCATTTTCTTTACAAAATGCGTAAAGGAATATTTTTTTTTAGAAAAGTTCTTAAAATAATAATAAAATAAAATAAAATAAAAAATAAAGAATATTTTTTTGCATCAGGGGTTCCGAGGAAAATCACAAAGGGAATATTTTCTGAAATTATTCAAAGCGAAACAGAAAAAAACTCATAATTTTCATAAGGAATTAATATCACGCGATAAAAAAAAATATGTCACATGTTTCTTGATGATTCTAAAATATAAATTATTTTTTACTTATAAAATGAAATTACAATAAATAATGTATAAAATAATATTTACAAATATCGCGCGACTTCAAAAATTATATCAATCCAAGTGTTTAGAAGAAATATATAAAAAAGTTAAAACTTTTACTTAAAAGTCATTTTATTATTAAAAAGCAATAAAAAGTCTTTTAATTATTTTCAGCAAATGCTATTAACTTGCTAATTGCATACCTTCGAACGGACTTTAAATGAACGGTGTTTTCTTTTAATTTCTCCCTCGTTTTGCTAAGAACATTGATTTATTTTGGACATGCTTAAATCATATGATATATTTCACATCATGTGATCATCATATGCGAAGATGATCATATGATTAAAATTTTTTTTGATTGTATAAATCGTATTTAAATTTTTTATAAGTTTTTATTTTTTATACAAAAATATGAAGCCATTTTCAAGCAATATCAACTTATTTTTGCTGCTCCTTTTGACCTCCAAATCGCTAACAATTCAACTAAATTAGTTTATTATCACTCATTCCGTTCTGCATAAGCTCGCCTTGTTGTCTATTTGTGAACAATACAATCTTCAGTTCGTTCTGAACAATGGTATCGCTTATGTAACTCTCAAGTCACAACGGAAACCTTGTGATGATTAGCAGCTTTTGTCTCTTGACCTTTGGTCCATTCAAAATTTCACACTTTTTGAGAGGGAAAAATTCGAGAAAAGTAAGCGTTAAATAGTAATGAAAATTTTTCTTAAATACCAAAAAGCTTACAGTGTTACTGCTTAAAATAATTCAGATTAGTGTGGCTAGATTTAATGCAAAGGCTAAAGTCGGCAGCAGTACTCCATACAGAGCCGGATTAGTTGGTCTAAAAGAGCAGAGATTCATTTGAAGAGTATTTTTATTTAGTACCGCCATTATTGTTGGTAAACATCTATTTCGGCTACTATCTTCCTAAGCCGATTGCATTGCTCTTCAGCCCACCTATTCTGCTACAACAAAGTCTAGCAAAGTCTAATGTTTGCTATTGTGAGGTGACGGAAAAGAACTGCTTAGCCCTGCACAATTCCACTGTCACTTTAATTATCGTGCCAAGCAGCTCCAACTGCCGCAGTCTGGACAGTGAACAGACCCAGCCGGCCGCCAAGCGTCAGCCATACTGTCATTGGTCAGGCAAAGGCCTCCTGAAGCTTAGCGCATACACACGCATACAATAAGAGACTTTAGTTAAATAGTAAATCAAATTGACTTTGATGGCGGCGGATGAACGAAATTAAAAGGAAGCGTAACTATTTGGCCAAGAAAAAAGAAACCAACACTTGAAAGGGCAAATAGGCTGGCTAAGGAGGTTAGAATAATGAGTGAGGCTCATATAAGCGGTGGCGATGTGGAGAATAGCATAATAAATAAAAAGTCATGAAAAGCAGATTCCTACAACTGTATGAATGTTGCAAGTTAGTATAATTGTAGATATATACACGAGTATGTACAACAACTCAAAGTTCTGCAGTATGGATTGCTAGTACTTTGGCTGCCCCAGCTGTGTTGTTGTAATAAATGTGCGCTAATTTATTGTATGCCCGCAGAAGATGTCGCTTAATAGGCTCAAGAGAGCGGCGACTATTTATAGCGCTTCTGCTGCTTCTTCTTCTGCGTTGCTTTTTTAGAAAATTTCAATTTTTTCCTATGCACGCTGGTGTTATTAAATGTGGAATTCTTTTGTGAACTGGAAGTGAAAATTCTGCTGTGAGTAATGAAGTGATCTCAGCGAAGATTTATAGCCCATCTTGTTTGCAAAAAATTTTTAGTATCTCCTCATCATGGAAGACGGGGTATTCTCAATTTTCTGAAACATAGCTTAACCCATTAACTACTACTTTATTGGAAATTCCTTCGAAAAGTGTGGAGATTGTTATCTATGTATTGGTAGGAGGCAAATCGTTCCAGAAAAGTTTCTTTAAATTTATTTTAACCCTTTAACTAGTTCTGGAACAACAACAACATTAGTTATTATTGGAGCGAGTAGGTAGAAGTATCTCAATTTAATTTTCCAGCAGCCAACTCAACTTTTTGTACTTTATTCTATTTTATCTAATTTTATTCCATTTTTGTTTTTATATTTTCTTATTTCATATAATTTTATTAATTACATTTGATTATTTTATTTTATTTTATTTTATTTTATTTTATTTTATTTATTTTTATGATTTTTTTTCACTTAGTTTAATTTAATTCTATTTTAAACATATTTTTTTGTTTTTTATACAGATCCCAGTTCCATTTATGTGAGACCCAATTGGCCAGCCAGTTCAACCTAACCCAACCCAAGTGCCTCTTCAATGACTTAAAAATGTATTTCTACTCCACAGATTGGCTGTGAAATTTAGCTGAACACCTGAGAGGGTTTTCTTCGTTATGCAGTAATTATTATATTTTCATAAACTTAACTTCAAGCCTCTTAAGCCACACTCAACCCAACACTTTCAAGTGCCAATTTGCTCCCTAACTTTTTGTTCACACAAATTAAGTAGAGATCTTTGTTATTGTAATAATATTAAATTCGCCACTTAAGAAAAACACTTCCCTGATTGATGAAGAACAAACGTTGTGTGAAGTTCCTATGTACATACTACCGAGTATGTATCCAGGAATGACCAAAGAAGATTGTGTGTGAGTTTGAGAAAATCTTGTGAGTTAATAAATTAATTGAATGTAAGGAGGAAGGAAAAAATTGAGAAAAAAAAACTAAAAATGAAAATGATTTCATGATTACAAACAACGGCAATTAAGTGTTATTTGAAAAAGCAGCATATTTTGTTCGTATAAGTATGTATATGATGATATGTGTGTATATGTGTATGTGGCTTGCTGCTGTGTGCTTAATAATTGTAATTAAAAGCTGTTCTTAGATAAATGAATGCACGCTTTTATATTTACACACACACACACACACACACACACACATTATTACACATACGCATATGTACGTATATATGTACCACACATGCCACCGCTACATGCTACAGCTGTAATCATCTAAGCAATGTGCAACTTCCGCCTTTTGTTGCAGGAAAATCTCACTCCAAACGCAAACGAACTGCCACCTGCCAAGATCAGAGGAAAAGTGACCGCCTTGCGATGGAGCAGAAGAGCGGCGAATGCTCGCTGCGACGCTGGTGCCTCCCTACTTGCCTAACAGCGTTCGTGGCAAGCACAGCTGGTCAACCAAATGCAGCAGCAGAGGAGAAAGAAGAAGAAGAAGAAGTAGAAACTTTGAAGATGATTGCAGAGTTGGAGCTCCTCGAGCCAGTCGCGGAGGCTGTTGGCCAGCTGCATTGCGTTCAAATATATTGCAGTGAGGGCAAACGCATACACAATCAACCAGATATACAGAAATATATTGTATATACAATATAAAGGGGAAAAGGCATAAATAAAAATAATTAGATTTCTATCAATCGAACGTGTGAGGCATCAACACCTGCTGCGCGCGGCTTTAAAAGTTGCAGCCTATATTTTTCTATGCTTCATTCCTCTGCTTCGGCTACACTTCTTTTTGCTATAAGCTTTCTCTTCATCTTTTTCTCATTTTTTTAATTTTTTTAGCCATATTTTTTTTTTTTTCCCCTGGGTGGTAAACCCATTCGAGTTGCAGCAACGCATGCGCGTAATTATATATATTTTCTAAACATCTATTCATACATACGTGTGTATGTACATATATATGTTTGCTTGTATGCGTTTAATTATTTGCAATTTTTCTTTATATTCTACAATAACAACAGCAATAATAATAAAAATTTTGTACTCACCTTATAGTGGCCAAGGAGCCTTGTTTTCAGCTGGCAGCGCTAAAACGTAGCAGCTGATCCCCACAGAGAAGACGAAGAAGAAGCACTTTGTAAGAGTACTGAAAAAGATGAGAGGGAATATTTTAAAGAATTTTTTTATGTAGAAAATTACCCTAATTTCTTTGCGTGTGGTTAATAGTTGTAGGGGGAAAAATACGATAATATATTTATTAAAATACAGGCAAAAAATTAAGTTAATTTAAAAAAAAATTGTTATTAAATTTTATTTTTATTTAATGCGTAATTATTTAAGTATGAAGCAAAAAAAAAAAAGAGTTCTAAAAATCGGCAGACTAAGATCGTTAGAAATAATATATTTTTTTAAATTTGTCATAAAAACTATAAATGCAAATAAAAATAAAATTGAAGTTGAAAAATTTAACATATGCAATATTAATAATCTACCGTGCTTTTGTGTGTACAAATTTGTATCGGAAAAAATATCTTTAAAAAATTAAAAAATTAAAAAAAAAGTATTAGAAAGATTCCGAGCAAACTTTACGTAAAATAAATGGAAGAAAAAATGACAATTCTGAGGAAATAATAAAATAGGAATTATAATGAATTAAAATATTTATAATAAATTTGCTACATGAAATAACGAAAGATAGAAAAATTGAAAAACATTTTAAATTTATATATTCTTAGCTTATAACTTTTTTGCTTCAGATATTCTAAAAATTTTTGTAATCCTTTTAAATATATTTTTTACACTACTATAGGCTTGTAAACATTTATAATAATTATAAGGTATAATTAAAATAAAGACACATAAATATTCCGAACAATATGACTGAATTAAAAAAAAACAAAAACAAATTTAAAAAAAATGCAATGCGGCGCAAAGCTCTCAGAAAAATCACGGTAAAAAAAAGCACAAAAGAACAAAAAAGCAATAATAATAACAATAAAAGATCCGATGTAACTATATCCAGTGAGTAAAATTAAAAAAGCAATTATTTATCCACCAGGTGGCGCCACTGGTGGCACACTTGAGGACGCAGCTTTTAATAAGCGTTTGACATGCGACAAAGCGATATTTTATTTTGCCTTCATGCGCCTACACACATATACTCTTACATACAAACAATCAAAGAATTTTTTTCAATTTTTATTTTCTGCGTATTTTTTACTCACACACACACACGCACACACACGCACATGCTTGCAACGCTTGTTTGGGCATGTTTATGTTTTGTTTCATGTAAAACAATTCTCATTCATGTTCGCTTATTTCATTTGCTCAACAACGCTTTTGTCGTCTTCATTTGTTCGGGCACCTTTGTTTCCCATTGCCAAGGCTTTTAAGTGCCCATTAAAGTCATAAAAGCAAAATATGCAGCGCCGCTCAAAGCCAAAGCGATAAAATAAAATAAAAAACAACTAGAGGGCGCTTAATGTACATATGTATGCTTAACTAATTTCTTGTGCCATAAATGTGGGCGTGTGCGGAAGCGGCCAGTAGCGCCTTTGGCGGATTTACTAGCTTTGACGGCGTAATTAAATGTCTATTTGTTGTAGTCAGCGATTTGCAGTATATTTACATGTGTGCACATAAAGCTATGTAAATCAGTAAAGGCAGATGCATCATAGAGAAAAATAATTACTTTTTTTTTCTTATAAAAACTTTTTAATTCTTCTTGCTTACGCAGTAGAATAGACAATTAAATTCTTAAACGTTTAAGGAAATAACATATATATATATATAAATATATATATATATATATATATATATATATATATATATATATATATATATATATAATAACATACGTGTATTATTTAAGGTTTTTTTATTTTTATATTTTTTCATATTTTATTTTTATTATATTTTATTTTTATTATATTTGATATTATTGCGGAAATAGTGGAAAAAGACCGGAACTAAAGATAGGCCAGAAAGCCGTTTGGAACCATTTGCATAACCTTGGATTCAAAAAAATAAACACGATTGACCGAGTTTCCATCTGCGAATCGCAACAAAATTGACCCGTTCCTGAAGCGGATTGTTACTGGCGATGAAAAATGGGTCACTTACGACAATATCGAGCACAAACGGTCGCGGTCAAAGCTCGGAGAAGCGGTAGCCAAGACCGGATTGACGACCAGGATGGTTTTGCTGTGGGTTTGGTGGGATTAGCAAGGAATCATATACTACGAGCTGCTTTCCTATGGACAAACGCTCTATTCGGCCCGCTTGAAGGCAGCATTCATCCAGAAATCTTTGATCAACAGAGACCGAGTTGTGTTCCATTAGGACAATGCCAGGCCACACACGTCTTTAGTGACGTATCAGGAGCTCCAGGCTCCTGGAGCTCGGATGGGATGTCCTAATACACCCACCTTATGGGTAATTACCATCTTTTCCTGAGAGAAGTTGGCCTCAAGAAAGGCCTGTGAAAATCACTGAGCTTTTTGCCAATAGGGACACAGAGGGGTAATGAAGTTGGCATCTCGGTGGCAACAAGTTTACGAACAAAATCACGCATATTTGATTTAAGCTGGACAAATGTACACAAAGTTGTCATATTTTGAAAAATCAATAAAAAAAAAACCGAGCGAACTTTCTACTTGACCATATTTTCGTTTAGTTTTTAATATTAATATATTTTTTATTTTCTTTTTGATTTTGCATATTTTTTAGTATTCATGTTATTTTGATTTTTCTTTATTCCTATTAGTTTATATTGCTTATTTATTTATGTTTTTTATTGTGTTTTTTGATATTTGTTTCACTAATTTTTGAAAATAATTTTTAAATTTTGAAATTTTCAAAATTTTTAATTTTATTTTGATTTAATTACATATTTTTTTTAATTAATCCCTCTCAATTTGTACTTCCTATTACGGATAAGTTTAAGCTTGAGTGGCTTCCCATAGAAACGAAGCGATTTCGCTCAGGCAAGAGTGAGACCCTTCTGTCATAATTTCCGAATCCCGATAGACTTCTTTGGACCAGTTTTATGACTTAAGACCAACATGAAAGATAGCTAAGAGTGATCGAAATCAAACATTGCTTAGAGCAGGGCAGTCAAATATACAATAAATGATCGGTTTAGAACCCATGATCCTCTACAAAGTAACGGTCACTGCTACTCAAATGGTCACAGCGATTGGGTAGTTCGACCAAAGACATCCTAATATCTCTACTATATGTGAAATGCTCTTCAGTAGGTCTGAGGACTTAAGCAACAAACTCCTCCTTAACACGTCACCTAAACGTCGTAAATTATATATATTATAAATATAAAAATATATGTATGTAATTTAAACAGATTTTTACTTTGTCCAGCATAAACATTTCAATTCAATTTTATTGTTCGCTCTACCCAAATTAGCCACAAAAATTGGTTGGCTGTCAGTGTCAGCAGTAAAAATAAGCGCATTCCCCAACTCCATTAGCTGGAAGCTGGATAGCCGCAGCAGCAGCAGCAGCAACAACACATAAAACGCAGAGCAATTTTGTGCTATTAAATTTACACGCGTGAAAAGTGTTCGGTAAATGTTCATTGCACGCGATGCTGTGGTGCGCCGGCGCAGGTAGACTCTGCTGGGCCTGCCACATTTTGTGGCATGAAAATTGTGCACACGTACATGTGAACAGTTGCTGATTTATTTATAGCTTTAGCATGTGAAATGGGAGCAAAAAGTAATTATTTTTAGTTTAATTTATTTTCCAATTTTTTTCCGAAATTTCCTTATTCTTGGTCGTGGCAGCGACGTTTTCGTTTCATCGATTAACAAAGTAATCCAACGGCTTACATGCGATAAAGAAAGAATGAGCAGGCAATCAATGTCAGCGCGTTGATGCTGTAATAGAAAATCGCTGTGTTGAAGTGGAAGTAGAAAGCCCTAGCTGCCTCGAACGAACCGGCGGCTGAGACTGAAGCTGAAGAGTCCGCCGCGTCCGAAGCGCGCAACCATTCACTGCGCTTGTCTATGCTTTGATGCCCGTGATGCTGCATCTTAATTTGGCATTGAGGCAACAGCTCGGTGGCTGACACATGTTGCCACTTTAATGAAACTGCAACAACTGCAACAGCAGCAACAGCGAAGAAGCGCAACCAAGCAATCAATGGCGACTTTTCCCATTTTCCCCATTCTTTTGATTGTTTTTTGTTGCTTTTTTCGACAAAAACCTGCTGCGTAATGATAGCCTCAATGGCTCGAATGCTACTTATGGTTGGTTTTGTTGCTTGTGGCAGCTACTGCTACTTGCAACACGGGCCACAAGCCCGGCTGGCTGGACCTGTTTGTTGGTAAGTTGATGGTAAGAAAGTTGCAAGCCTTGATCGAGAATCGAAATCAGAACATAACGGCACTACTTTCTTAGCAGCCAACACATACACATGCACACACAGTCTGCAATGCAACAAAGTTAAGCCCCATAATGAGCTGCTGATGCCATGAATTTCTCGCTGACTGCCTGCTGGACCGCCTTTCTGACAGCGTGATCAACCTGTTCGTTCACTTGCCATACCAAGAACGAAATCGCACCGCACACACACAGATACATGCACACATATACAGACACACAGTGTTGTTTAATTAAAAGCATTCAAAGTGCCGCTCAGCGTTGCTCAGCTCAGCTCAGCTTCATCGGACACGGGGACACACACTTGGCGGCGGCGTAGTAAAAATATTATGGCAGCGGCGCACAGCTGTTGTTGTTATTGTTTTCTTGTAACTTTTGTTGTTTCTAATTTATCGCAGCAGGAAAATCGCGTTGGAAAAGCTTTTTAAAAATTTATGGCAATTATATTTAATGGCAAAGTGATATTCTTACGAACAGCTGAAGACAAAAGCAACAAAAATACGAAAACAACAACAACAACGAGGCGTGGCAAAGACTGCAGAGTGCGCTTACACGGATAATTATTGCGTTGCATGCACTTCCTGCATGCAACATGTTACCGGCGGTATTGATATTGGAAGAGAAATGCAGAGAAAGGGAGAGAGAGAGAGAGAGGAAAGAACAAAGATATCAAAACTGGAGCAAAAACCACTAAAGTCATGCCACAATACGGAAGACTCGAGCAACGAACTTGACGAAGAGAGA